CCCAGCGCTGGCCCCCACGCCCCCAGGCCCCCCAAAGCGACCCTCAAGCCTGGAACCTGCGATTGTCAGTGCGAGATCAATCAGGCCTCAGGGCGGCCACCGCTGCCCTTCCTGCTGTCCCTTCTACCCCTGCTGGTGGGGGGCGTCGCCTCCAGCTGAGGGGGAACGTCCTGCGGGGGGGCCTCTGCGGGACGCATGCGGGGGGAGCTTAGCCCTGCAGACGCGGACAAAAGGCCAGCCCTTAGGCCACGCGCCGCCCCTGCAGGAAGCTCCTTTTCCCAGAAGAGCTGGTGTTTTTAAGAAAGCGGCCCCACCCGGCAGTTGCAGCTCCCCATGCCGGCTCCCGGCCGTCTGGGACGTTACAGGACTGGACTGATTGGGGGAACTGAACCCCAGCCCCTCTCTCCACCGCTGCTCCCAATTTCCCAGATGTGTCCCACGGCCCTGCTTCCACAGTGTCCCTGGTCAATGTCACATGGATGGGGCCCCAGACTCAGCCCTTAAGCTACCCCTGAGCACCGCTGTGCCATGTCCTGGGTGACGTCAGCGGCCACCCAGATGACCCTCCACAACCGAGGCCCCTGAGGACCTCCTTTCTGGCCACCAGCTTGGACCCAGAACAGTCCCGGTTCAACAGTCCCCCCTCCAATTCCTAAGACCCTCTCAGTCCCTCCACACTGGAGTGTGTACCGCTGCCCTTGGGGAGAACTCCTGGGTTCTCCGATGCTCGGCGCTGTGTAGACGGTGGACTGAGTTCCCTCTCATCCTGGGGTCGCTGCTTCCTCAGGACCCCTGGGTGATGAGTGGACAGGCCACCTCATTCACCTCCCACTCCCCACAGAATTCAGGATCTACAGCAGTGCCTCTGGAACTATACTTCTGGAATATTCCACATCAGAATCACCTAGGGAGCTTAAAAAGGCAGATTCCATACCCTCACCCTGAATCACTGGAGGGTTGGGGCCAGCAGTCTGCCTTTGAGTAAGCTTGGGGGGGAGCCGCCCTGGTGGGCGAGGGGGCTAGGACGGCGGCTGTCATCTCTGTCTGGTGGTTTTTCTGTCTCTCAAGTGTTCACCCTCCCAGGGACCAATCTCTGCACATTCTCTGTAGAGTCACGTTTATGGCTTTACTTGAGTGGGGTCTATCCCCTATGGGTGCAGCCACTTAGGGGCCACTTCGTGGGTTGCCGCCCACAGCGCTGCCTGGGGCCAAGCCCCCCCCCCCAACAAGCTGACCAGTAGGAGGGCAGTAGCCAGGTGTCTTCAGCCATCCATGACCTGAAAATTCCAAGCCACCAGGAAACCAGAAATCTGGGTGTCTGTCAGGATCCTTTCAAAATATATGGAGGAGGAAACTTGTATTTTAAAAGCTTATGAGCCCCACACAGGAAGACAATGAAAGTGACCAGAGAGAAAGCCCTTCATTTCTCCGGAGCACAGATGGGTCCCGGGGGAGTTTGGGGGCAGGAACTTGACAGGCCTGGATTGCTCTGTTTTGTAGAGACCGTGGGATTCAGAGCTGATGGGCAGTGGGGTGATGGATGCAAAGAGAATGAGTGGGAGGAGGGAACAGAGAGAAACTCAAAAAGCCAGCTAGGGGAGCTCAGAGGAGGGGCGTCCAATGTGAAATCTGTGGCTTCTTTCATTGCTACATGGAAACTTCTCCAGGCTTTAAAAACATATTAAGGGTGCCTGACTGGCTCAGTCAGTACAGCATGTGACTCTTGGTCTCAGAGTTGTGGGTTTGGGTTTGAGCCCCACCTTGGGCATGGTGCCTCCTTTAAAAACAAAACACTTCTGGGGCGCCTGGGTGGCTTAGTCGGTTAAGCGTCCAACTTTCGCTTAGGTCATGATCTCGCGGTTCGTGGGTTCGAGCCCCGCGTCGGGCTCTGTGCTGACTGCCAGCTCGGAGCCTGGAGCCTGTTTCAGTCTGTGACTCCCTCTGTCTCTGACCCTCCCCTGCTCACACTGTCTCTCTCTCTCTCTCTCTCTCTCCTAGAAAAAAAAAAAAATTAAAACCAAAAAACTTCCTGGGGCACCTAGCTGGTTCAGTCGCTGGAGCCTGTGGGTATTGATCTCAGAGCTGTGAGTTGCAGCCCACAATGAGTGTAGAGATTACTTAGAAGTAAATCTTTATATATATGTATATACACATATATGTATGTATATATACACATATGTATACATATACGTATATGTATATATACGTATATGTATATGTATATATAGGGGTGCCTGGGTGGCTCAGTTGGTTAAGCATCCGACTTTGGCTCAGGTCATGATCTCACAGTTCATGGGTTCGAACCCCGAATCGGGCTCTGTGCTCACAGCTAGCTCAGAGCCTGGAGCCTGTTTCAGATTCTGTCTCTCCCTCTCTCTCTGACCCTCCCCTGTTCATGCTGTGTCTCTCTCTCTCAGAAATAAATTAAACAAAAAAAATTTTAAAAGTATATATATACATATATATGTAAATATATATTTTTATTAAGTATACTATAGAAAAATGCCATGTCAGATTGATTACTTTTATTTTTAAAACAGTCCCATAATCAAAATGCAAAACATTTGTGCTTCAAAGGACAGCATTAAAAAATGAAAAGACCACCCACAAAATAGGAGAAAATATTTGCAAAGGACATATCTGATAAGAGACTTGTACCCAGAATATATAAAATACTCTTACAACTTCATAAGCAGAAGACAAATGACCCAACTTAAACATGGGCAAAGGATCAGAATGTACATTCCTCTGGGGTGGGGGGCAGTGTACAAGTGGTCAGTAAGCCCATGAGAACATGCTGTCGACATCATGAGTCCTAAAGGGTGTGAAAAATCAAAACCACACCGGGATATTATCTCATACCTGGCGGGGAGGCTCGGCTCAGAAACATCATAGTAAGTGTTGGTGGGGATGTGGAGAAACTGGAACCGTCCCGCTCTGCTGCTGGGATAGCAGATGTGCAGCAACTGTGGAAAATAGTCTGGAGGTTCCTCCAAAAGTTGAAGACCGGTACCAGAAGAGCTGGCAGTTCCCCTCCTAGGTGTGAACCCAAGAGAAATAAAAACGTACGTCCACACAGAAATCTGTACAAGGATGGTCACAACCGTGTGATTCATGGTCGCCCAAAGGTGGAAACAACCTGAATGTCCATCGATAGATGAGCGGACACACGAAGTGGAGAATTCATTCTGCAAAGTGTTATTCAGCCATCGAAAGGAGTGAAGTCCCGATTCGGGCTGCAACCCTGATGCATCGGAAACCCTGTGCTAAGTGCAAAAGGCAAACACAAAAGGTCATACAGTGTGACCACGTTTGTGTGATTCCATTTATTTGAAATGTCCAGACCCAGGAAACTCCAGAGACAGTAGATGAGTGGCTGCCTGGGACTAGGGGGTGGGGCTTTGGGACTGGGGGGTGCTGGCTCACCTTTTTGAAAAGTTGACGAAAAGGTTCTGAAATTGGCTGTGGCAGTTGCACGGTTCTGTGCATTGAATCATACACTTTGATGGGTGAGTTGTGTGTGAACTGTTTCTCACCAAAGCTATAAAGAAAATGGTACAGGCTGCCCTGATGCAGAATGCCTGCTGATGGTGGTCTTTGACAGTCGTGGAAGGGCCACGCGTCTCATGGGGTCAGGGAGCCCTGCTTCCCGAGAGAAGAACCCCGGGAGTGTTACTTGCCGTTGCAAGCTCCTTTCTCCCCACCTGGACTATAAAGATGGTTCAGGGAGGGATCTGGACTCCTAGATGTGTGCAGAGAGCTTCAGACCATTGATGGGCTCCTAAGGGGCCTGAGACGCCTGCTGGGGTCTGGTTAACGCAAGTGAGACTTTGACCAAGGAAACAGGCTTTATAGTCCTGTCCTGGTGGCCCCGCAGGAGCCCAGGTCCTCTTTGAGGGTGAAAGGGGCTCAGTTGTGCCCCAACTCATGTGTTCAAGTCCTAATCCCCAGGACCACAGACTGTGACCTCGTTTGGAGATAGGATCTTTATAGATGGAATCAAGGTAATGAGGTCATTGGATGGGCCCTAATCCAATAAGACTGGTGTCCCTATAAAAATGGGGAGTTAGCAGACAGACACGCATATTAGGAGAATGACATGAGCATGAAGATGAGCATCCACAGGCCTGGGAGAGAGGCTGGAACAGACCCTTCTCCCAAGGCTCTCCAAGCAGCCATCCTGCCGAGGCCTTGATTGGTTTAGGCACCCAGTCCGTGCAACCCCAGGGCACCCGTATAGACGACAGACTCAGCTGTGCTGGACCCGGAGGGCTCTGGGCCAGAGTAGGGTAAGGGAGGAGTAGAGTAAGTTCCAGGTGACCCCAGAACTGCACAGGGCTGGCCAGGACCTGGGAGGCCGCTAACAGGTGCCTGAGGATCGCAGGGCCTCGGCCCCTGGGGGGCTCAGGATAGTCTGGTCACCTGAGCCTAGGTCAGTCGTCCTCAGGCCCTCCTGAGGGCTTTACTCTGTCCCATGGCAGACAGACATTGCCTCCAGCCACCCCTGCAGGGGCCCACGGGGCAGGCTGCTTAGGCCCCAGCCCTGCTGGGCCCACCTCAGGGGTCTCGCCATCCTGCTATGCCCTGGGCCAGGAGGTGCTTGGAACGCTCTCTGGACTTTGGATCTGGGGTGTGCTCCATTCCAAGTGACTTAGTCAGCGTTCCCCAGTGTCTTGCTTGACCTTTGACTGGATGACTTCATTTTCCAGGACCCTGGAGTACCCCGATCTGCTTTCGCAAGTCTGGACTTTACCTGTCTTTTCCTTCTCATGCTAATAAGGCTGGGGAAGAGGCTTGTCAATGGGCTCTGAAATTCCCCACCCCAGCTCAGAGAGTGGAGGGGGCACAGCCAGAAGCCTTGCCCCCCCCCCGCCCCGTCTTCTGTCTCGCCGTCTCTCTCTCTCTCTCTCTTTCTCTCTCTCTCTCACACACACACACACACACACACACACACACACACACACACACACAGAGTCTCACATCCTGCCCCCAGGCCAGGCTCCACCCTCCGCAGCCTCTCCCTCCTCTCTCCTCCCTCTTAAATCAGAGGCTCTCAGGAGCAGAAAGGGCTGGGATAATCTGTGAGGTGACGGACTCTGTGGAGGGCTGGGGAGGAGCGGGTGGCAGGGAGGCTGCTTTCCCTGAACCCCCGAACTCACACCTGTTCCTCCCTGCCAGGCCACAGCCTTCGGACACCTGAGCAACCATGTGCTACTCCAAGGTGAGTGAGAGCAATTGGAGGGGTGGGGGGCCCCAGATACCATTTCCCCACTGTGGGTCTCCCTCCCCCGCCCGCGCTGGCCCCCAGACCCCCTGATCTCTCCACGTGCACCTGGCTCTGTCCCATGCTCCTAGGCCAATGGGGGAGTCCACTGGGGAAGCAGGGGGTCAGAGGCATGTGACCCGTGCGTTCAACAGGGCCCCAGCTCATAACGACCCCAAGTTTACTTTGTTGAATGCTCATCCTGAAATTCTGAATAATTATTGACAAATAGCCTCACAATTTCATTTTGCTCTGAGTCCTTCACTTTGTACAGTAGGTCCTGGTTGTGGGGCCAGATTTCCTGTCTGGGGGTAAACTACAGGGAGCAGTTCTGTGAGTGTGCGTGTGTGTGTGTGTGTGTGTGTGTGTGTGTGTGTGTGTCCGTCCCTCGGGTTTTGAGGAACTATGTGTGGTTTGGGGGCAGGACGGTTGCTGTAGGAGTCAGACCGGCGTGTTTGTGGGGCAGCTGGAGAATGGAGGGTCTCGAGGGCGAGAAGCACCGAGCTGAGTAGACCCCTCCAGATACGGGGGGGTGGGGGGTGGGGGGAGGCAGTGCCTTCCTGCAAAGTTTTAAAATTCCTCTCTGGCTGGACCCGCAGCCGAGGACCTGCATCAGCCTTGGTGTTTGGATTCCTCCCTTTGGGGATTACCCGTCACCTGCCCCACCCTACCAGCCCCCCACCCCAGTTGTGAGGTTGGCCAGATGCCCGGGCCCAATGGACTAGGGAGTGACTCCTGACCCCGGGCTCAGTGGCCACGCCCAGTTTGGGAGCCAGAGTTGGGAGAGCAAATTGTTCCCTCTGGCCAGTGCCACCAAATTTATTTTGCCCCGATATCACGCGACATTGGGCTGACAGGATGGTGCCATCAGGGACCCAAAAAGTGTGTAGACGGGTACCTCACAAAAGGTATTTGCCCAGAGCCATGGACATTCTGCGTGTGGCACCAACTGCCCAGCGACAGGGGAGCCGGTACCAGATTTGGGCCTAAGGTGGAGACGGGTGAGGACGTGTCTGGGGTACCCTGCACTTCTGTGGGGCAAGCTGAGGGTCCCAGAAGGGGGAGGGGTCTGCAGAGTCAGCAGTCAGGAGCTGCGTGTCTGTCACTGCCTCTGAGAGCAGCAGCCACGGTCAGTCTGTCCCTTGGCCAACTTTCAGCCGGTACAGAGAGGAGCAGGTGGTTGGTAACAGTGGATCCTGAATAGTCGGGGACAGTGTTCATACATGCACGTCTGCAGGCATGGTGAGTGTATGTGTGTGTGTACAGCAAGTGTGGGGGGTGGCAAGGTCACATGGGTCTGAGTATCACTCTTGCCCCAACAGGCAGCCAGATCTTCTGTGGAGTTTATGAGGGAGCACATGGTAAACTCTTCCCAATGTGTGTCTGGGGGAGTGAGGGGGGCCTGGGTTCTGCTGTGTGGATCTGAGAATGTTCTGGGCCACCCAGGGTCCCGGGAGGGGGAAGGAGGAGGCCTCGCTCACTTCCACCTCTTGTGTCTGCACAGCACCAGTTGGTGGACGAGTGCTGTGATAATTATCAACACCAACCCCAAGGAGAAAAGGTGGGTCGTCAAGCCCCCATCCCCATGCTCTCTACAGTTTGGGGCAGGTGGGTGGTTTCACAATGATGATGGTGATGGTGATGAAGATGAAGATGCGACCTTGGGTTTGCTCTTTCCTTACACTGGGCAGATCCTTGCAAAACCTCCCAGTTCACACCTGTGTGGCAGGTGAGGGCACAGGTGAGGGAGGCTTAGGAAGGTGTCTAAGTCACTGGGCATATTGATGACAGAGCAGGGATGCCAGACACCTGCTCCCCAGGCCCCTGGGCTGAACCCCATTATGAGGGCCTGGGGAGCAGAGGACAGGCAGGGGATTGGGCATAAGACTGAGGGTGGGAGAGGCTGGGAGGAATTTAAAGCAAGTAATTCTCTCCCCAGAAAATACTGGAAGAGCTGGAGGTGAGTCTTGGCATTGGCGCCCCTGCCAAAGCTCAGTCCCCAGGGCTGCGCTCAGCCGGGGTTTTGGGTCCCGAATCCTGGCTCCCTGAGGCTCACCTGGACCCATGGAGGCCACAGGCCGGAGCAGGTCTAGAGCCTCCGAACCCTCCCCTCTCCCCAGAATGGCTTCAATGAGGTCATGCTCGAGGCCGTGGACCTTCACTATCAGAACAACAATCAGGTGAGCGTGAGCCACCATTCCCCTTCCCCACCTGTTCTGTGTTGACTGTGGTGCTCCCTGAGCGGAGGGCGGGGGTGCCTCCGTGGCTGAGGGGCCGCGCAGGCCAGTGAGCGAACACGCAGGCACAAGCATGCTTGTCTCTGCCGGTGGGGAGGGACTGAGGGGCTGAGTCTCTGGGAGCTGTGGGCGGGAAACCCGGGCTTCTGGCTCCCCGATTCTCCCAAAGGTTGGGAGGCCTCAGCCGGGGCCAGGACCTGGGCTGCGACCCCCGGGGGGGACCCTGAACGGCACCCGCATCCTTGCAGGAGACCAGTCCGTTACTTCTCGAAGTGCAGCAGGAGTTACGTTTGAGAATCTGCAAGCCGTCGGAAGAGGAGGAGGACCCAGGGGCCCAGGAGACGGAGGAGGACCCAGGGGCCCAGGAGACGGAGGAGGGCTTCTGTGACAGAGTCCTGAGGCTGTTTAAAAAGCTGCTCCTCCAGCTGCAGGAGAAGTGGCAGGCCGCGCTGGCCTGGGTGAAGCAGAAGGTGGCCGCCGGCCTGCAGGCCTTCAGCGAGGCGGTGGAGGCCATCTGGAGCGCACTTAAGAGTTTCTGCGCCTCTGTGGCTCGTGTGTCCCTGAGCTGCATCCAGGCCTAGCCCAGCCCTCTGGGGCCGCCCTCCCTCCCCAGGTCCGGACCCCTGCTCCGGCTGTGAGCTCTTAATAAAAGCTGGTTGCAGGCACTTGGGGGGGCTCAGTCAGCTGAGCGTCTGTCTTCCATCTTTGATCTTGCAATGTGTTGTCAGCTCAGACCCTGCTTTGGATCCTCTGTCCCCTTCTCTCTCTGCAGCTCCCCCACTCGCACTCTCGAGATCTCTCTCTCTCTCTCTCTCAAAAATAAATAAACATTTAAGAAAAAAGTTGGTTGAATCAAACTGAATGCCTGTTGGACGGGAGACAGGGGCCCGCAGTAGCTGGGGAGGGAGAGAACATGTGTCACATGGACCCAGGTCAGGTCCACCTGACCTCAATAATCTGTACACGGCACAAGGGTTACAACTGGTCACAGACCTGTGGTGACAGCAGGAAGTTTTCTGGCCTGTGTGTTGCCTGACGTGGGGGTGGCAGGGAGCTCAGGCCTCAGGCCCCGTCATGTGTTCTTTTGACCTGGGTCTTCATGCTTCCCCAGGCCACAGAAGCTCTTTGGTCCTCCCTGCAAGATCAGTGGCCTTGAGGTTGGGGCAGAGGAGGGTGCCCCCCCACCCCCAACCTGGACCAGGGAGAAGGGCAGCCTAGGGCAGAACTGAGACTCAGATCTCTGCCCTGGGCCTGCTGTGGGCCTGTAAATACAGAGACTGGCGGAAGCCAGGAGCACGGCCCGGGCAGGAGGGGCTGAGCCCAGCTCACCACTTTTGAGGCCGTTTCCCTCCCCTGAAGCTCCCCTACCCTGACTTCCTGCTTTCCTGTGGCTGCACACAGAGTTTTACATGGGGGTGTCTGGCAGTAAACAGCAGCTGCTGAGATAGAGCTGAGGGGGTTCGGGGCCCCTGACCTGAGGACAGAGCAGGAAAGGGGACAGGAAATGAGCCGGGCGGAGCGGGGAAACACACCTGCAAAGGAAAGGCTCCCGAACAGGGAGGTGTGCTGAGGTGTGAGGGATGTGGGGAGGCGGTGGGAGCCAGGAGGCCTCGAGCCCTGGGGGCACTGGTGTCAGTGTCCCACTCACTCTCTGGCAGTTTCTTTGTTTTTTTCTTTTTCTTTTTTTAATGTTTATTTTTGAGAGAGAGACAGACGAGCAAGCAGGGGAGAGTCAGAGAGAGAGGGAGACACAGAATCTGAAGCAGTCTCCAGTCTCTGAGCTGTCGGCACAGAGCCTGACGCAGGGCTTGAAGTCATGAACTGAGAGATCATGACCTGAGCCAAAGTCAGTTGCCCAACCGACTGAGCCACCCAGGCTCACCCCCCCGCCCCACCAGTTTCTTAAAGACCCTTTTGGATCATAGGAATGAACTCTTGATTCTTAGAAAATCCGCCTTCCTGGGGGCCAGCTGTGAATCTGCCAGGAGGGGGTAATGGCTAAGCCATACCCTAATACTAGCTTCTTGGTGGCCCTGTGGTAGGGTCCCCTCCCTAAAGAAAAAAAAAAAAAAAGAACATCTCAAGGCAACCTTGCTATTCGTGTACGTGACGACATCCCTCACGACCTTGTAACATGAGACCACATAAATCAGACTGCATGTTTGTGTGTTACCATATATGGGAGACTAAGAAGTGAAAAAACATATAAAAAACCACACCCTGTGGTGTTTGGAGCTCAGTTCTTTGAGTACGAACCCAACTAAGCGCTGTCGGTTGGCACAAAGTTGCTTCCTGGAAAGAAAAGCCCCGGTGTCACGACTCTGTGCCAGAGTCCTGCTACAGCCCTGGGCACCTGGAGGGGCCCCGCTTGCCCACAGCCCCTGCCCTGCGAGGGAGGGCACCACGGGGGACGCATCATCCTTCCTCTGGCCCTGGCCTTCTCTTCCTGAGGCAGGAGGCAACCCAATGGGGGCTCCTTTCTGCAGAGCCCATGCCGCCCCCATCCGGCTCCACTCGCTTCACCCCCAGGGGATCCTTCTGATGGCCTTTTAGGCCCATCTCAGGCCTGAGTCCTCAGCTCCAACGGGCCATCCGCTGCCTGATCCAGCTCTCGCTTCCCCGTGGCCGCCCCTGAGAAAACCCCCCTGCTGTGCTGAAGCCAGCAGGGACTTTCATGACCCCACAGCCCCGTAGAGGGGGCTCACCATCCCAAGCCTAGACAACTGTGATGCTCTTCTAGTTGGTCTCCCTGGCCTTGCCCCTTTCAAGCCGAATCTATCCAGTGCCAAGGTCAAATCAATGTCATTGCAAAGTGAAGTCACTCCCTGCTTAACACCATCCCATCTTCCCGTCATAAATACACTCTGACCGTCATAAATACACTCTGACCGGGGCCTATGCGGCCCCCGTCTGTGTGGTCACACTCCTAAAGGGCTGCCTCAGGCACAGTATTCTCCACTCAGGGACTTTGCATCTGCTGTTCCCTCCGATGGGGATGCCCTTCCCCCACTTCTTCTGAGGATGTCCCCTTCTATTTCAGGCCTTGTTCTCCTCAATAGCCCAGCACATTCCCTGGCACATAGTAGGTGCTCAAGAAATAAAGCCTTCAAATGCTGTGGGTTCTTGCAACTCCTTACTCTCATTCTTAGTTGATCAAGAAAATTTCCTTCCTGAAAATTTCTTCTCTGGGGTCCCCCATGACTCCAATTTGTTCTGGGACATGTGGTGACTCTCTGTACCCCACCTCATCTCCCTCCCAACCCCCCAAAAGCACAGACCTTCCCCAGGCTCAGAGCTTTGTGCCCAAGAACCATCTCCTTTCCCCAGATCTGGGGACAGATCTCCTCCAAGTCCCTTGAGCCCTGGTTGACAAGTTCACTTTATGTCCACAAGCATTTGCTGAAGAGCAGTCATGAGTGTCGGGCTGGTGGAGGGACAGAGACAACTTGAAAAGTTGTGCCCCTGACTACACTGGGAAGTGGCTGTGTGCATGCTCTAGGGCTGGGTGGGCTGTTTTCTTCCTTGCAGTATTACCAGAAGTCACATGATTTTAAAACCTGCCCACAAGACCGAGAGAAAAAGAAACCTGTCCTCTAGATTGCCCAGACTGCCTGGGAGGTGGGGGAAGGCGGGGCACTGTGTCAAACCAGCTTTGGGTTTACAGGATTATGGGTTTTGTCGGGGGTCCCAGCCCACAACCCCACTTGCCCATCAGGCAGGCTTCATTTTATCTGCCAGCATCTTCGATTTGGATCAGTTACCCCACATTCCAAAAACAAGGTTTCCTGTAATAACCCAGAATCTGGGATTTTAAATTATATTCCATTTTAACTAATTTTCTTAAGTTTTTATTTATTGATTTTAAGAGACAGAGAATGCAGGGGAGAGACAGAGAGAGGGGGAGAATCCCAGGCAGGCTTTGGGCTGTCAGCACAAAACCTGAAGCAGGGCTGGAACTCCCCAACCTGGAAATCATAACCTGAGCCAAAGTCCGACACCCAAGTGACTGAGCCCCCCAGGCGCCCTACCACTTAAATTAATTTAAACAGCCACCTATGGCTAGAGGGTACTGTTTTGGACAGCACAGATTAGGGGGCAGACTCCAGAGAATTCCAGGATGAGATTCCTGGGCCTTACAGCTGACAGGGACAGATGGCATCCTCTGTCACGCTCCCAACCCTGGCTCTTTCCGGGGTGTGCTGGGGGCAGGAGGCCCTTTCCTGGGCCTGCTCCCATCTAGCCTGCTATGGAAGGTGCTGGGGAAGGGAAGGGGGGAAGGGGAGGGGAAGGGAGGAGGGGAGGCGAGGAGGGAGGGAAGAAGGGAAGGAAGGGGGAGGGGGGGAGGGGAGGAGGGGAGGGGGGAGGGAAGGGGGGAGGAGGGAAGGGAAGAGTCATTTTCAAGGAAGTTGTTNTCTGCCCAGCACCGCCACCGCCTGCCACACGGTGAGTCACGGTGCCAGCTCCCATCGCCTGCCTCTATTTTTATATCAGCGCCTGCTCATATCTGACTCGTTAAATAAGCCTCCCAACTGGGGGGGGGGGGGGGGGGGGGGGGGGGGGAGGGGGGAGGGGAGGGAAAGGAAGGGAAGGGAAGGGAAGAGTCATTTTCAAGGAAGTTGTTTTCCATTAGGCATTTTGAGATCCATCCCTGAGGCCAGGCAGAGACGCCTCCGGCGTAGGGGGGAACTAACCGCGGGTGTAGCCACCGGGACACGGAGGCCGGGGCGGGCCCGACGGAACCCTCGCGAGGCTAGTACAAGGTCTCGCGGGCGTGGGTTCTCAGGTGGCGCAGCAGGTGCGAGTTGCGGCTGAAGCTGCGGCCGCACTGCGCGCACGAGAAGGGCCTGGCGCCGGTGTGCACCAGCATGTGGCGCAGCAGGTTACAGCTGCGGCTGAAGCTCTTGCCGCACTCCCGGCACTCCTGCGGGGGCTCGGCCGGCCGGGCCGCGGCCTCGGTCCCCGTGTGCGTGGCCAGGTGCCGCTGCAGGTGCGCGTTGCGCCGGAAGCTCCGGCCGCAGGTCTGGCAGGCGTAGGGCCGCTCGCCGGTGTGGCTGCGGCGGTGCCGGGCCAGGTTGGAGCTGTTGCGGAAGCGGTAGCCGCAGGTGTCGCAGGCGTGGGGCTTCTCCCCGGTGTGGATGCGCTGGTGGCGCGCCAGGTGGGCGCTCTGGCTGAAGCCCTCGCCGCACTCGCTGCAGCGGCACGGTTTCTCGCCCGTGTGGCTGCGCCGGTGGCGGGCGAGGTCCTGCGTCTGGCTGAAGGTCTTGCCGCACTGGGCGCAGTGGTGGGGCCGCGGGCCGCCGTGGGTCAGGAGGTGGCGGGCGAGCCCCGCCCGCCGCACGAAGCGCTTCCCGCAGTGCGGGCAGCTGTAGGGCTTCTCGCCCGTGTGCACCCGCTGGTGGCAGACCAGCTGCGAGCTCTGGCTGAAGCTGCGGCCGCAGACCTGGCACGAGAAGGGCCGCTCGCCCGTGTGCACGCGCCGGTGGGCCCCCAGGTGCTCGCTGCGCCGGAACGCCTTGCCGCAGTCGCCGCACACGTACGGCCTGCGCTCGGGGCCCGGGCGCAGGCTGCCCGAGCACTCGGAGCACTGGTGGCCCTTGTCCTTGGCGTGGATCCGCAGGTGGCGCTTGAGGCTGGAGCGGCGCTGGAAGGTCTGGCCGCAGTGGGAGCACAGGACCACGGCCAGCTCGCGCGCTGCGGGCCGGGTCTCGGGGACGCACGAGGGCTGCTGGCCTTCGGCGTGCGCCAGCAGGTGCTGCATGAGGCTGGCCCGGCGCTGGAAGCCCTGGCCGCACTCGGCGCACAGGAAGGCGGGCTCCGAGGAGTGAGTCTGCAGGTGCTTGTTCAGGTGTGAGCTCTGGCGGAAGCGGTGGCCGCAGAGGTGGCAGGCGTGGGGCCGCTCGTCCGTGTGCGTGCGCATGTGCAGCTTGAGGATGGAACTGCGGCCGAAGCTCTTGCCGCAGCGCTCGCACGGGAAGGCCCGGGCGCTCGGGTGAGACCGCAGCTGGTGCGCCTCCAGGCGGCCCAGCTGTCGGAAAGTCACCCCGCAGTCTGCGCAGATGAATTCCATCTCTGGCTCCGACCTGGGGGTCCCCTCGGCCACTTTGACCTCCAGAATGTCACTGCTGCCGAGAGGGGACCCTCCTCCGCCCGTGCCACTCGCTTCGGGGCCTGGCCCCGGCACCTGGGCATGGGGCTCTTCTGCCACCTGGGGACTATCTGCCTGAGGCTCTGTTGAGGGGACAGCTGGCCAGGCAACGGCTTTGGGCTCTTCTTTGAACTCCTCATCTGGGGTTCTACTTCCAGGTCCTGAGAAAGAAGGAGAAAAGGGGGGGGGGATGGGCAGGCCTGTCCCTCGAGGTTCCCAGGAATTGCCAGAGCCTCATTGCCTCAAAGCGGGAAGAAACCCAGGATCCCCCAAAGCCGGGAGGTGGGTAGAGGTGACGGTAAAAAGCAAACACAGAATTTACCATAGTAAACATTTTAAAGGGTCCAGTTCAGGTCCGTCAGGAACGTTCCCAGTGTTGTGCAACTGTCACCACTGTCCATTAGTGTCAGAACTCTGTCACACCCCCAGATGCAAGCCCCATACCCACTCATAAGCACTCCCATGACCACCCATTTTAAAAGCTCAAAGTTGACGGGGTGGATGGTTACATCAGACACAGTGAGCCTTTAAAATAAGTAAAAGAGGGGCGCCTGGGTGGCTCAGTTGGTTGAGCATCAGACTTCAGCTCAGGTCATGATCTAGCCCCACATCGGGGTCTCTACGTTAGTGCAGAGCCTGCTTCGGATCTCCTGTCCCCCTCTCTCTGCCCCTTCCCCAATCCCGCTTTCTCTCTCTCAAACAATAAATGAACATTTTTTAAAAAAAAGTATAAATTAAGTAATGAATGAACAAAGGAAGGAAGGAAGGAATCCTTGTCAGAATAGCCCATTTTTAGCCAAAGAGGCCAAAAAGTCAGGTAGGGTCTGGGGCTTCAGAGACCACCCTGGAAACACAAAGAAAGAGCCTTCAGTGGTCGCAAGCAGCAAGGGCCTCTTACCCAGAGGGTGAACAGGCCAAGCCTTCTTTGCTGGAACATCTTCAAAGGTCAGGGACTCCTGTAACAAAAGGGTGAGCCGAGACCCTTGGTGAGAGAGGAATGGGGCTCTGTGACCTGAGGGGGATGATGAAAACCTCTGAAGGATTAAATTAAGGAAGACACGGGCTTGCCATCCACAGCAGTGGGGGCAGAGGACATCCGGGGCCCGAGGACAGTCTGGATGGAGGGGCCGGGCCAGCTCACCAGCACGGCTGCCAGCTCCTGATCTCGGGAGTCTTCCTCCAGCCACAGCACAGGGCCCTGGGGGGCTGGCAGCGTTGGGGGAGAAAGAGAGCCATTAGAAGGCCGACTTCCCCCCATCCGAGCCTACAGGGGGCGCACCCATGGTCGGGGCCCTGAGAGAGACATAGCAGCTCTCTTCCATCCCCGTCAAAGAAGGAGGCTGCCTCCTTCTCACCCCACCCTCGCATACCGTCTTCCTGGCTCCCACCTTCCCGAGTACCAGCTCCTCACCACACTCTTGCAGGGCTTGGAAGGCCCCCGTGGGGCCTGGGCTCAGTGGCTGCTTTGAACTTGGGGGGTGTCTCCAGGTGCCCAGCTCAGCAAGCTTGGAGGGCCCCGGCTGGGATAGTGGGGGTTCCTTTGGTGGCTCCAGGGCCGGAGGTCCTTCGGAGGGCACTTCCTTTTTGGGGCTGTGACTGGAGACCTGGGAAGAGCCCCCCTGTTCCCCCGAAGTGACGTCTGCACGGGGACCGTTCTTGCCAGTATTAAAACTAAAATCCTGTTCAAAATACACGTGTATTAGGTGACGGCCAGGGCAGGGGGATAATCCGCGTCCTACTGACTCCTAAGGGGACGGGGACCACGGACGGGTGAGGGTCAGAGGAGTCAGGACGTTAGGAAGGAACGGTGTGTGTGTGTGGGGGGGGAATGGAGCGTGTGGTGACTTCTTCACGGGGCGCGCAAGTCCCTGGCTCCCCGCCTGCCGTCTGGCCCGCCTGGCCGCCCGCACTCTCACCAGCGGCCCCACGGTGCTGGCCTCCCTCTGGACGCCCTCCAGCAGCAGCACCACCTCCTCGCCGTCCCGGAGCGGCTGGCCCTGCAGCCGGGCCAGCAGGTGCGCGGGCAGCACGCTCAGGAACTGCTCGAGCACCAGCAGCTCCAGGATCTGCTTCTTGGTGTGCAGCTCGGGCCGCAGCCAGCGGCAGCACAGCTCCCGGAGCCGGCTCAGGGACGCCCTGGGCCCCATGTCCTCCTGGTACTGGAAGCATCTGAAGAGCTGGTGAGCCACCTCGGGCCGGGGCCTGGCCTCAGCGTGCCTGACGTCCTCCTGACTCGCAGCCTCCTCCTCCTCCAGCTTGACGGCTCCGAGCTGCTCGGGCTCTCGGGCGGCCGGGACGGGTTCCTCAAGCATCCTTCAGCCGGGGGGTGGCTCGCTGCAGCGGGTCCCACGTCAGCTCTCTCCCTTTCGGCTCCCACACCTGTGGTGTTAAGAATCGCCTAAAGATGTGGCTTCCAGAGGAGTCGTTTCTCTCACTGGGCATAGGCAGTGGCTCAGCAGGACAGCCCAGAACAGGAAGAGGCAGAGGGAAGGGACAGTTCTGCACTTTCACCCACCCCTGCGGCATTTAGAACTTCACATCCTTTACCCCAGGGATCAAAATTGGCACCTCTGAGACAGGACCGCCTGCTTTCCCTGCCTCCTGCGGCGGTGCCACAGGGAGTACACGGCACCACCAAAGCGGGGTTCTTGTCGAAAATGTCCCATTGCAATACGATCCAGGCTTTAGACCCAACTCCACCGCCCGAAGAAGAGCGGGTGGTAGGTGGGGGTGCGGTGGATGAGAGCGACAGTGTTGAAGGGGACAAACTTGCAACTCGTAGTGACTAATCCCCTGAGATCTAATGCACAGTATAATGGGTATAGACAATACTGTTGTAGTACAGTTATGTGATTCGGTAAGGTAAATATCACTACATCGGCAATCATATTACAATGTACAAAGGTATCAAAGTAACATACTGCACACCTTTAAATTAAACAATGTTACACGTCAGATTTGTTCTCGGTTAAAAAAAAAAAAAAAAAAAAGACCAGTGAAATGATCCCTCAAGGAAACAATGGAACAAATTACAGACTATTCTCGAAAACTGGCCCGGGTCCTTCAGCATTATTTTAAAAAGCACCTGTAGGCAGGCACCCTGCTCTAGAGAAAATGAAGAACCACACAGCCAAATGAAGGAATCTTGACTGGAGCTCGACATTTTTAAAGAGGGGAGGGGGTTAGGTGGAGGGGGGAGTAGGGATGCTCTAAAAGATATTCTGGGGTCAGCTGGGGAAATTGGAATATGGATGGGACACTAGATGACAATGGAGATGACCATTAATTTCCGAGAAAGACTCCAGTTTTGCGGTTTGTGGGAAATGTATTTTTAGGAGATGTTGAACGGTTTGGAAGTAAAGGGTCCTGAGGGTTCAGCCATATTTATGGATAGAAAAGACAAATGGGGCAAAGTAAAAGAACTGATGAATCTGGGAGATGGGTGTGTGATGTCCACTGTGTTCTCTCAGAGTCTCTGGAAGTTTGACAGTTTTAAAGATGAAAGGGGGGTGGGGGCAGATAGGGGATTCATGCATTTGATTTCTCCTTGACCAGACATCTTGACTCTCACTTTATGACTCTGGACGTGGCTCTCAGCAGTCAAGGCCAAGGCCACCCAGCTGATCAGTTCAGGGCTGAGCACCCACCTGGTGTACCAGTGGGTACCTCATCTCCCAGGTTCCACCAGACACTGAGGCCAGGATGATCCAGAGAACTGAGATGGGTGCGTGGGTCTCCAAATGAGAGACTAAGGCTTACAACGTGCAGAGATTTGTGACAGGTGTGTCTGCAAGGCTAATCAACAGGGCTCTGTCCGCTTCCGAGACCTCTAGTGGGTACACCCTTGGGACCTGGGTGATGGGCAGGAGAGGCGATCATTTCTCTTTCTTTCCTATTTTATTTTATTTTAAATTCTGGATTCTTCCTTGGTCTACCCTTGGAGAAGGGATCCATCCCCAAGTAGCAATAAAAAGTGGCTTTAACTGGCCACCAGGGGGCACCGGCTCCACATGACTGACAACCTCCCCACCTCTCCCTCTCAGGCTCTCTGTAGGGCCACCCACTCTTTCCTTTTAGGGTCACCCATCTCTACCAACAGGGAGATGCCTCAAGCTCAGCCTCGCCCACAGAGGACTCGCTTCGGTCCTTCAGCACAGCCCCGAAGGCTTTCACTGTTCTGCATAGACCAGCACTTCAGCTCCAAGGTTCTGCAGCACTTTTCTATTTTAGTTTGGGCTGAGATTATTTTATGGATACAAAAGCCCAGTTCCAAGATCTGTCTGCCCTCTGTGTCCTCTGACCTTAGGGCTACCAATGAACTCCCAAACCTGTCCCCTGAGCCCCACCCAGGGAGACCCCAGGCAGGGACACCGCTCCCCAGCACCTAAAGACAGCAGAGCAGTGCCGACGCCCGGTAGACAACGCGCAGTGGGTGCGCGGGAGCGCTAGCAGCTGCTTTTCTCACTATTGCTGAGCAAAAGCACAAACGACCACGCCTAAGTCGGTCCCATCGCTGACGCATCGTATGGCTGAGAACACGAGGCAGACATTTGCCCGGCCTTGGCAATGCAGCCGGGGAGAAGTCAGCCTGCCAAGAGCGTTGGGCGGTTGGTTGAGCCCCCTGTCGCAGGGCTGAGGGCGGAGGGTTCTCTGAACCTCCTGTTCTGGTGGAGGGAGCGAGGCTGGTGTGGCAGGACAGAGGAAAACTGGGTTTTAAACCAGGCCGGAGCACCTCCCACCTCAGGGCAGGAGGGGACGGGGATGCCAAAACAAAGGCCCAGGCTTGCGTCCTGGCCACAGGAACCCGGCGGCTGCGCCAGCCTCTCTCCGGCCCCCCTCCCCCTTCCTGCGTCCCAGCGGCGGCACCTCCAGTCTTTCCCGCAGTTGGGCATCTGACCCCACAGGGCGCCTTCCCTTCGGGGCCCCCGCACCGCACCAGCAACCTGCCCTCCCCGTGCGCGCTCACGCTGGGCCGGTCATGGCTGAGGACCTCGCTCCCCTCGGCCTGCGAGTGGGAGCTGCGACTCGCTCATAGCTGTTCACGCCGCGCTCGAAGCGGCTTCGGTGTTTGTTAGTAGCAATAACAACGAGGACAATGGCTGCCTGGCAGTCGTACTTACTGAGGAAAGCAGGCACAACTGTCTGGTGCGGGAAAAGTCTCTGATGAGTTGTTCAAGAGAACGGGCTTTTGTTTCATTCTGTTCGGTCAGCAGGAGTGAAATGATAGAACCGGTCACACGAATCAGCAGCCTTGTGATAATAGCCAGCAGGTACTGATGCCCACTTGGAGGGGCCCTCAACTCGGGGCTGCCTGATCCACCCCCAGCCCACGTGGTAACTTATAATTTCTCCCTCTGACGAGCGCAGAGACGACAGTGGGAGAGGAAGGGTGACTTGCTCAAGGTCATACCAGGTGGAGCCAAGATTTTCTTTAAGGTGAGAACACTGATCTTGACCAGTGGGCAAAAGCTCAGAAACAGAAAAGGACCCTTTTCCCTTCTTTCCCTGAGCAATTTGCCTAGTTTTAGCCAGAATATCACAGCGCAGATTCAGAAAAAATATGGAGATTTCAAATTCTAGCCTTCAGGCCTACACACAGGCAGGGGTGCCCGGAACCTTCAGGTGAGGTGGAAAGATTTGAAAGAGGAGGAATTTAAGGGAATTTGGCTTCAGAGTCTCTCCTTCCCACCCCCCAGTCTCCAGGACAAAAGCTCTGTTCATATGCACATCTGTGGGGGGTGAGAGCTCTTCAGCCACCCTCCAATATCCGACCAGCTTAATCTGGAGCCCAGAAAGATGGGGAGGCAATGGCTGGACCTGCCTGGGGTGGTGGTGCCGCCGCAAGGCCCACCCAGACAACGGGAGAGCCCAGAGCCAGGATCCTTGCCCAGGGACCCCACCCCCACCCCAGGTGGCGGGCTGAGTAGGGGAGGCCAGCCCGTACCTGGGGGCACATAGAGCCTGCCTTCCCCTCCCCAGTGGGTAGAGTAAGCCCATGTTACAGAAGTCCCACCACCCTCCTTGATGGCCCCTCAGAGCTGGCTGCCCTGGGCTCCCCAATATAGACCCCCCCCATCCTTCCAAGTCTTTTTTCCAGCTTCCTAATCCCCTATCCCATCGCTGAGGCCCGAGTCCCCCTTTTCCCTCCGAGCTTCTATGAACCCCTGTGTCTGTCCTGGCAGCCTGCACCCCAGGCTTCCTTGCAACTCACCACTCGGGGTTCCCACTCCAGAGGGGGGTGCTAGGGGTTCTCTGAGGGCCCCAGGGCCAGAGTCAGCCTCAGCCAGACTGGGAAAGGACTCCGGGAAAATTAAACAGGAAGTTCCTTGCTCTGGTCCCATCCAGGTAATGAGGGGGCTTCCTAGAGTTAACCCTTAACCTCCCAGTTTGGGAGTGGGGAGGGGAGAGGGAGGGGCCAGAGAAATGAGGATTCAGCGGCTAATTCAGAGTGCATCCTAGGTCTGAGTAGGAGAGTCTAACCACTCGTCGAGGTAAGACCTGCCCCCCTTACCCATCAGGACTGGTCCTATTCTTCTTGGAGGGGAGTCTGTCATCCTGTACTTTCTGGGGGACCAGAGATGCCATTTTATTTTTATTTTTTAAATTTTTAATGTATATTTATCTTTGAGAGAAAGAGAGCACGAGTGGGGGAGGGACAGAGAGGGGGGACAGAGGATCCCAAGCGGGCTCTGCACGGACAGCGGAGAGGTGGATGCAGGGCTGGAACTCACCAACCGTGAGCTCATGACCTGAGCCAGCAGACTGAGCCACTTAGGCTTCCCCAGAGCTGCCATGTTAAAATGCCAACTTGTGTGGGGGGCTCTTTGCTAGGCATTTCATTCATGCCGCAGATGTTTGCCAAGGTCCTGTTTTGTGCCACGCACAGTTGCAGGGAGGGGTTGGGGTAAACAGGAGCAAGCCCTGACTTCAGAGGGCGTACTAGCCGGTGCGCCGAGCAGTCCCGGGCCAAGAAAAAGAGAACAGGACCACGTGACGGGGGAAGGAAGGGCGCCACCAACACCCGCAAAGATCTTCGCAAGAATCTTGCGGGTGGCTTTTCTCCCAGGTTTCCCAAGGACGACGAAGCGGGGGCTTCCGGGAAGGGAAGTGACCTCACCACTGGCCTTGAGCCCAACTCGACCTCCAA